AACATTCTTAACATTGAAACCCAGATTGTGATGTTTCTGCACTTTCTGTCCTTTTAGAAATGTCTGAAACAAAGATTTTCTTTGTAACCTATCTCAATTGCATAAACCAGAAAGAAACTAACACACTGAGTTAAAACCCCTTTGGAGAACTACTTGAAGATAATCATAAGAAATTAGTGGCCATTAAGGATTTCAATAACAAAATACTGGGATAGTACTGTTTGCATTTAGCACACACAACACACTAAATCTACGCAGAATGAATTCATTAAATCTCATTCTGAGCATTCCTTTTTTCCTTCTTCTTGAGACAGCTTTTGTAAGCTATATACATGCACGGAGATCCAGGGAGAAACAGCTGGTCTTCAAGACAGCCCTACTCTGTTGGTGGGAAGTGATTACCTAGTCATCCCAGTGGCTGTGAGCTCAGGTACCTGGGAGAGTTTTCTGGCTCATTTGCCGCCAAGCTCTGAGAGGTGGGAACGCCTGTGCTCTGCAGACATGTTCACACGCCAGCACATACGGCCGCCACTTAACCGATGTCTGCAGGGCCTGGAGGAAGACCAGGCCCATCGCGAGAGCAATCGCTATGATGTGCCAAGACACTGCTGAAGAGAGAGCCCTATTCATCCCCAAGGCAACGGGCGGGTTTGTCCGAATGCCAAGGATGACGCCAGCTGCCGTGAGCGATGCCCACATACTGCGATGCCACACAGCTAACTGCGCTACCTTCAAAGCAGCGGTCCTCACCGTCCGTCCTGCTGATGTCTCTTGAGTTTGCCTGTCTGGCAGATTCAAATATGTATGCATGTACGTGCATATGTGTATAGGTATGACACACTTACACATTCACACACACACACACACACACACACACACACACATCTATAAATACAGCCAAGCACACAGCTACTGAGATCAAACTGGGACTAGGTGGATAAAATAATGACACCGCTGCAGAAGGTTTAAGTGTTTATTTTCATGTTAAAAATGATGGGTAATTCTGTGGTTAGAATACATCTTGATCCTGGAAAATGACATCACTTTATTTCTGAAATAGTTCCAGAGAGATAAAAAGGAAAAGAAAAACCCAAAAGTAACGAAGCATAAGATGAAGTGTCCGGTCCAGGCAGATTTCACCCACAATCCCCGGTGAGCCCATCCCGCCCCGACCAGGGCCACGCGCCCCTCAGCCGTGCGGAGACTTCGAGTTGGATGTCTGTACAGTGAAAAGCTACTGTGTTCATGCTTTTATTTTAAAATGCATTTATTCCGATGTGCCTCTCAGAGTTCCCGTGTATTGCCTATATTACATACAAAAATATCAGCTATCTATATTTGGGCATCACTTTCCACACACCCTACGTCAGGGGGAATGGAGAACACCACACGCATCCTAGGCACCGAGGACAGGGCCCAGCCCCGGACTGGCAGCGGGATGGAGAAGCGGGGCCGCACTGGATCGGTCGGAGGTGAAAACCCAGCAGGGCCAGCGCCGTGCGTGCGTGCGTGCGTGCACCTGTGCAGCTGCTGTCTGCGGCTCCGCTCCTCAGCCACAGACGCCGCCCGCGGGGTCCCCGCCCGCACGGCCCTCCCCAAACTGATGAGCCACGCACCAGCCGCTCCCGTCACCCATGAGACGAGGGGACAAAAGCCAGTGGTGGTGTTGCCACGCTCCTGCTGTGCAGGGACGGCTGCCCACCCCACTCCAGGGGTTACGGGACGGCTGCCCACCCCATTCCAGCGGTTACGGGACGGCTGCCCACCCCCTTCCAGCAGTTACGGGACGGCTGGCTCCCCCCCTTCCAGCGGTTACAGGACGGCTGGCTCCCCCGCTTCCAGCGGTTACGGCCTGGGGTGTCTCTTCCTCCACCAGAGCACGAGGCAGAGCTCCAGGGGACGCCTGTCTCTTGTCTGGACACAGAGTTCTGAGGTTTGCTAATGGATGCCCAGCCTCCGGGGTGTCTTCTCTCGCCCGCTCCAATGTGAAAGCCCCGTGGACTTGAACACCCGTCCTTCAGACCAGCAGCTGCTTCTCAGCCCCACCCCCGCCCCGTCTCTGCCCTGGCTCGTGTGGCCCAGCCATCCCAGGGCGGGCCTCGGTCTCCAGCTAGATGACGGTGGAGGGGACAGCCTGGTGTCCCCGACAGAGGCCGAGCACGCTGTCTCCATAGTAAAAGACCCAGCAACCTGTTTGGTTCAGGTGATTTACCACGCCCACCGCTGGGGTATCTCAGCCACACATGCCTGGGTAACCACCACCGCCAGGAAACAAACGCAAGGCCTCCTCGCTCACATCAGTCCCGATTGCACCCAGCTCTGCAGCCAGGCAAGCACTCTACCACGCTAGCCACACCCAGCACCACGGACCCCGCTTTAGTCCAGCGAGTTCACAGCACAGTGCTCAGAGCCGGCACTGCGTGGCTACAGGAGCCAGGCCCTGCGCCCACCATTTGCCATCTGCAAGAAGTAGAGCGCAAAGCACTCCAACAAAACCCTGTTTCCTGAGCGCCCTCCACCCCAACGCTAAAAACGCCTGCAGCCCGTGGCTCCCCGTGAGTCCTCCATCTCTCCAGATGTGTGCTCGGGTGTGCGGGCATGTGTGTGGCACGGGGGAAAGCGGAGTCCTCCCCCACTGCCCGCGGAGGGGCTTTGACCAGACGGACGGATTTCTGACTCGCGCCAGCACAGCGATGGCGGGGGCGCACCCCCTCTGAGCAGGGCTGAGCGCTGCCCCTCAGCACCCTGGTCAGCGCCCCGCACTGCGGACAGCACACAAGTCACACTTGCACGCTCCTGAGCGCTCTCTTCAGGGAAACGGTCATTTCCTCCCCCTCAGAGCCTCATTCCTACCTGCTGTGTGTGGCAGAGAAGCCCCCCCCCCCCCCCCCGTGGAGGGTCCTCACTTTCAGAAGTGAATTCCCAGTCTTTCTGGAATGTGGATGATGGAAGGAAACAGAACTGGAAAAGGCGTGTGGAAGGAGCCAGGGTCATCTGGACACGTCTGGGTGCGTGGACTGCTGCATGAACTTTCCTGTCCTGCACAGGTGGCCCAAGCCGCCTTCCCCCACAAACGCTGAGCAGAGCTGCTGCTCGAGCAGGGAGCCCCGGCCGGCGGACGCCAGCCGTCTCTGCACAAGCCCCAGGGCAGCCTCAGCTTGCATCTCCCGCTCTCTTTCTCCTGTCAAGTGGAAAGGTTCTAGAATCCACCACCTTCCACAGCCAGCAAGCTCCAGGCTCTAGCAGTGAGACCACAGAACCTGCGTCTCAGCCATGTGCAAACACAGTGCGGTGCCGTGTGCAAATGATACAGGAAGAACTTTTCAGCCACCACTTCATGGCCGCCAGAGGCTGGGCCACCGGCATCTATAAAAAGAGCACGGTTGAGCGACAGCAATCCTCTTTCAGAAAGCTTAGTCACCAGTCACGGGGGCCAGGGAACTGCCGTACCCGCTGTCCTCTGCTCTCAAGCTTCCGTTTCTCGAGATGCACGTGGCTAAGTTCACTCACAAGGCATACTAGTCTAGGATCAGTTTTTTTTCCAGCTCTACCACCCTCGTAAATAAGAGTGCCAACCTGAAATTCCTGCTCTGCTTGAGACCATTCATGGGGGTTTGTTAAAATGGGATTTTTATTTGAAAATTATGCAAGAATCCTTTTTGCTCTCGCCGCTTGGATTTTTCGTTATCTGTGTTAGAGAAACCACTTACATGTGGCAGCTGTTTCCTGGGCTCCAGAGCGTTTACTTTTCTGAATTTGGGGAGAAGCAATGCTTCCGTCTTCCCATGTACACCTCTCTGTCAGTCACAAAGGAGATTTGGGGGGCTGAGGGGAGGTGATTGTATGGACAGGTTTCTATATATTGCTACCTTGAAACGTCATTTCAGGTTCCTGGTCCGGTAAAATGGAGAGTTTAATCCAAAGCTATTGCCAAGCCATTTCCCTGCGATGTGGGTGAGTTCTACACCAGATTTCTTTGCATAATACATTGTACTGGCCACAAAGAATCTGTATCAGTTCAGCGGTGCTGGGGTCTTCCCACCCTCAGAGATGTGCTCAAAGAACTCCCAAGGTTCTCCACAAGCGAAGGACAAAATTAAATATCTGTGACTCACAACGTGTCTCAAAATTGGTTATGCTTCATGTGGAAAACGGTAGGGCGGCAGCCCTCCTTCAAGGGCGTCTGTGTTTGAAATAAAACCCTCGTCCCCACCGAATACAAGAAAACTCAACCGCACAGAGGAGGAGAGACAAGGGCGAAGAAGCCCCTTGGACGCCGTCCCCCGCCACGGAGGCCGGCAGCTGGGGAAAGCAGACATCCTGCGTGGAATGCTGAGAAACCAGCGAGCCCCGGCGAGCCAGGGACTGCGACCGCGTGAAAGCCACACGGATCTCAACGCAAAAGAAGAGAAAGGGACGGTGGGGACCGAAAAAACAGATGCGGGTGCGGATGTCTACAAAGATGACGACGGGCCACACGCAGAGCCAGTAAGAAGCCACATTCAGTCACCCTTCACACAGGTCTAAACTCAGGCCACGGGATCAGGTGTCCACTGTGCTTTAAAAGGTCTAGGAATAAAAATAATAATCATCATCACCGCCCAAATCCTCCCTAATTACATACGGATGACTGACCGCGTCCCTCTGGGGGGTTGGGGGAAATCACACTGCTCTGAACGCCCCCCCCACCGCACCCCAACAGGGCGTCTCCAACCCCTAGGTGTCTGAGAGGCATTTCCCGGTTCAAACCCTGCGGCCACGGCGCTCCGGGCCTCCGGCGCCCGCTCGGAAAGGGACCGCTCCAGACCGCCGCGAGTGAAACCCTGCCTGCCACCCTCCACGGCTGCCCCAGCGATCAGAAAACAGAAGGCATAAAGGTGAATACAAACGTAAGAAAGGATTTCACATCTGGTCCTGCAGCCTCTCCATGTAGTCTCTAAAGTGCCCCAGCGATCAGAAAACAGAAGGCATAAAGGTGAATACAAACGTAAGAAAGGATTTCACATCTGGTCCTGCAGCCTCTCCATGTAGTCTCTAAAGTCCTGCGCCCCGCCCTCATCCCGGTACACCCACTTGATGTCCTCTTCGCTGTCCAGCAGGATGGAGTTGGTGTAGGGGCCGCCGTCCTCGGGGAGGATGGTGGTATAGGAAGTAAACTTGACCCTCTTCCTCTTGGGGCCCCCGGGGTTGCCGGGCTCCGTCTTCAGGTCTTTCTCGTAGACGTAGTCGGAGGGTCTGAGCAGCTGGCTGTGGAAGACCTTCTGGGAGCTGCCGTTGAGCAGGAAGTTCCTCTCCTCGAAGGGCAGCGCCCGGTCCAGCATGGTGGTGCACTCCTCGGAGGGCAGCGTGATGTCCACCGGGTTCTCCAGGAGCTCCACCTCGTTGCCCAGCCACACCCAGTCGTGGGAGTGGGGGATGTTACCCTGCTCGCTCACGGCAAACCTCTTGTGTCTGTACTTCCACGCGAACGCCACGCAGTTGATCAGGAAGACCAAGATGGCCAGGCAGAAGACGCACAGCAGGGCGTACATGCCGATCTCCAGGTCGGTCAGGCCGCGGGAGCTCACGGTCAGGTCCCCCCCGCCGCCGGGCCCCTCCGCGGCGTGGGGCGACCTCCCCCGCGTGGGGAAGCTGGTGAAGGGGTCGGCCCCGCCTTTCAGGAGCTTCTTCTCGCCCCCTCCCTCGGGAGCCCCGGGGGTGGCGCTGCGGTTGCCACGCTCATCCGGGCCGGCCGGGGCCCCACGGTGGCCCCACTCCTGCACCGCCCGCTCCTGGCTGCCCTCCCGCTGGATGGAGTTGCCCACGTGGTCTCTGTACTCGCGGCTGACGCCCTCGATGTCGTTGCTGCCCCCCTGCTGCTCCTCGGTGAGGGGCCCGAACTGGACCCTGACGTTCCCCTTGCCCACGGCCAGCACGCTCTTCCTCTTGGTCTTCTGACAGGGTTCGCTGATCAGCATCTCCAACTTGATCAGGGGGCCCTGGCCTTCACCCTCTGCCACCAGCACCGGCCATCCGGACTGAAGGTTTGGCTGGACGGACACCACCATTTCATCCAAGGACGAGACAGCCATGGAGAAATCCTTGGGCTCGTAAATGTCTAAAGGTGTCACTGAACCGTCACTGAACAGAAGCCAAGAGCTGATGGTAGCTTCCTGCGGGAAGAAGCCAAGCGTGACGTTAGGACCGTGTTCCTTCACATTCACGCGCATGCACGCAACTTCCTAGGGAAGCTCCAACCCCTCCGCTGGGGACCACTGAGCAGCGTCCATGGGCTACGCCACAAGGCACAAGCCAGCGCCGATCATACGCCACCACCAAACAGATAATACAGCTGAGCGAGTGCGTCCAGTGAGTGCACAAATTAATTTATTGTATGCCGCGCCACAGATTTTGACTTTGACAGATCAGGCAATTTATCTGAATCAACTTCAGCTGCAACTAATGAGGCTGCTTCTCCGCATAATATCACTCATCTTGTTCTTTAGCTGGAACAAAGCATGCACGGGGCAGGTTCCCAGTCAACCCTGAGCCATGTGGCTGGCGGCCTGGAGAGACACCGTGTCCCTGTTCCTTATAAATTATTTTTAAAAGTTTGAGGACAGAGAAGAGTTTCAGAGTTGACAATAATTGCAGTAAACAGCAGCAATTTGAAGCCTATTAGCCATACTTGTTCAAGTAGCTGACATGGAATTTCTAAGTATCCAGAATCACCTGTTTTGTTTGGCAAGGGTGAAAACAAGTGATTTTTTTTCCTTCCTGGTCTAGCAGGCTGCACAACCCAAACTAGCCCACTTGGAAAGTAAATGACAGAGGGAAATGCACCTAAGCCGCTCACCAATGCCTTCCTCAGACCTGGGGCTGCTGGCTAAGAAGCAGGAGGCGGCTCCAAGAGCCTCAGTCTGCCTGTGAGCGCCCGGCCACCTCCTCCGCAGGAGCCAGAGAGGCCTGAGCCCGGCAGCAGGCGCCCCAAGCCTCCCCCTCACCTGCTGTGGTGCTTGGAGGACGCCCCGGGCAGCCACGGTGGAGACGATGACCCTCCTGTCTGCTCGGTGGGGCTGCAGGGACAGGGACAGGCCGGCCACCAGCTGCACGCCCAGCTCTGCGATGGTGACCCGGTCATCCAGGACAATCACGGTCTTCTCAGCCAGGATGGAGTCAGAGAGAGGCGAGAGGACCTGCAGGTGGACAAGGACGCATGCGTGGCTACTCCAACTCCTGAGCGACCGGCCCTGTGTCCTCCCAGATACAGGACACACTACACTGTGCCAAACTTAACTCCAGCAACACCGAAAACACAGCTGAGTTCACACAGGGAAGACACTGCGCCGCCGTCTGCATCATTACCCCGCTAAAGCTGGCTAGAAATTGTCCTAATGCCATTCAGTAGGGACGCTGCCTTATATTGGCAATACACAAGAAAAGCAGAGTATCTTAGGAGGCAAAGTTTGGTGGCAGGAAGTTGTACGTTTCATTTTCTCTGGCAAAAGAAATCGCATACTTTTCTCTGAGTTGCAAAGGGTAATCTGAGGTTTAGGTTACAAAAACTGATGACTGCTCTATTGCTTCTTGTAATTCTCTTCCACACAGACTGAGTACATGCGCCCTGACACATACACATGTGCACACACTCACACACACGCACACACACACACACACACACACATACACACACACATACACACACACAGACACACACACACACACAGACACACACACATACACACACATACACACACACACACACATACACACACATACACACACACACATACACATACACATATACACACACATACACACACACACATACACATAGACATACACACACACACACACACACACACACCCGTGCAGCACCCTGGGGGCAGACGTCAGGACACACCTGCACGGTGGTGATGCCCGGCTCCCGGCCCACCAGGGTCCTGCCATCCTGTAACTGGGCGATTCTCGGCTCCTCCACTTTCATGAACTCGGTCACGAGGTCAGTGATGTCAAACTGCCAGTCGGGGCCCAGCATGTAGGTCAGCTGACCCAGGTCGGGTGACTCGGCCACAAACTGGGTGAGGACGCGCACCAGGGCGTGCTGGTACTGCAGGGAGCAGCCGCGGCCCTTCTTCTCCTCGTCCTCCTCATCGTCACTCTCGCGGGTCGGCCTGGAGCCAAACAAACACAGGCAACATCCTCACTGGGCAGAAATCTCACCTCGTGGTGTGGATTTGCTCCGTCCGTCAGCTCACCCCCGTCCATGGGGCTGTTCACCCAACCAGCACTTTGGATGGCACTCAGGGCCGATGGCCTCGTACTCAGTGGACACCGGGGGCCCTGCCTTCCCCTGGCTGTCGCTGCCGGACAAGCTGTGCAGGTAGGGGCGACTGTCCAGTCTCTGTGTGCCAGAAATGGGTCGTTCTAAAACCGTCCTCCACCCAGGGCTGGACAGAGCGCGGGTTCCTTCCTCTACCTGTCACGAACTGCCTATCAACTCAGTCTCCTCGTTGCTCATTGCGAAATGCAAGGAGAATACATGGAGGGGAGAGGTTAAATCGCAGGGGGATGCTCAGCACCCCCAGATGACCGACACAGGAAACAACCGGGGCCCCACAGTTTGGAAATCGCAGCTGTGGCCAGCCTGCCGTGCGTTCCCAGGGGTGCAGTGCACAGCGCTTGTGGCTCGGGCGTCAGCGTCCAGCCAGGACCGGGCCCCTCCCTGCACCCGCCCCCACCGGCAGCACCATCCACAGTCAGGCTTCCAACCACGTCCATTCACAGCGAGTTCAGTGCGTGCACTGCAGCCCCTCTGCACATCCGTGTGTCCATCGAGATGTTTTCCACCCTGTTGCTCACAATGCCGCCAGCCTCCACGCCCGTGGGAGGGGTGCAGGCTGCAAGCGGAGACGTGGAACCGTGTCTGTGTCCCTGCTTGGCCGTGGCCTGACGGAGCCCCGCACCCTGCACCTCTGACAACACTTCACGTTTGCTGGCTCACAGGCCCACACCGGGCACTCTGCGGGAGACTCGAGCCGACACGCACGAGTCAGCCAGGTCAGATCTGAATATGCTGAGGAAGAGGCCATTGCTCCGGTCAGTCAGGTGGCACAGATGTGGCCGGAATTTGGTTCCTAGCGTTGAAGGACGGAAGCCTGCGTTTCTCACTGGGGGTTATTGTTTCCCTAGGCCAGTTTGCCTACCCCGGAGATCTGGGACCCGGGACCTCAGATCCCAGTGGTCCTCCCTCTCCCACTTGTCCCTGTTCTCTCTCTGTGTCTCGCACACACACACACACACACACTTCTCACCTCCTGTTGGAGGCCACTGGGACCCTCCAGCCCTTGATCTGGCTCAGCTCTGTGTCAGAGATCTCCACCTGCAGGGGCAGCCGGGGCACCCACACGGTGAACTCCACCTGTGAGGTGAAGTGCTGGTGGGTGAAGTTCACGATGGTGTCCACTTTGCTCTTCATTTCCTTCCCATTCACGAAGATGGAGTCACAGGTGTTGGAAACCTTCGGGAAAGAGCAAGAACCCTGTGTAAGCAGGAACACGGGAGAAAGCCTGACAACAGCAGAATGCAGGAAGGGCGACAGCTCTGATTTATTAGCTACCAAGACACCCAGAAGAGCAAGACTTGTACAAAAGGTAATTTGTAGGCTTTAATTAGTGACAAATACTGATAAATAGACTCCAGGAAAACCATTTGTGTTACAAAATACTGACAAGTGAAACCATAAACATAATTTAGTGGAGTTCCATAACCTCCGTCGCGGTGTGTGAGTGCATTTCTTCTTTAACTTGCCTCTTTATGTGCGCACACTACTGTCAGCCAAACCCCAGGTGCGCCTTATTTCATTCGTGCACCTATTTGAAGGCACTCAAAAGGTTTTTATGTTACGAAGAAAAATACTTTATTCAAGCCATAAAGAGCATCTCCTGAAAATCAGGAGAGCACTGCACGAGAGGGAGCCGGGCAGCGTCCTCATGGAAGGCCCTAGAGGCCTGGGTGTGGTCACTTCTGCCTCCTAGAGCTGTAATTCTGCAGGCTGCGGGTGCGGCATTTCATTAGGGTCTTTTGGCTCGGCGCTTGGCGGTCCCCTTTAGCTCATCTACTCGTGGCGAGTGTTAGACAGTGCGGCCTCCATCCCGTCCCATCCCTTCCAGATAAGCAAATGACATTCTGTTAACTGTCTTTCCTGGACCACCAGGCGGATGCCTTGTGTTTGCATGGGAGAGGGGAAGGGAACAGAAGGACTGCCATCAGGAGCAGAACAAAATAAGCCATCAACTCACCACAGAACCGCCTAACCGCACCATCTCATTTACAGACCAGCAATGAGACAACTGGACCAGACCATGCACGCTCAGGGGCGCAGTGCTGGGCCGAGGCTGCCAGCAGGGCACCCCGCTCCATCCAGAGGCCCCTGCACAAGCAGCCCCAAACAGGACTTACCTTCAACCTTCCCCTCTCCCTAGGTTTGTGCATCCAGGGCAGACCTCCCTCGAGAGCAGACAGACAGACAGACAGGCCCAGCTGCCTGCTCAGCGTCCACGGTCCGCACTCAAGATCACAAGAAACACCACTTCCAGACCCAGAGATTTCTCCTCCACCCTCCCCCAGGAGCACCAGGGAGAAATCCAGGAGAGGGGAGCAGTCGCCTCCCATCGGCTCTGGTCTTGGACTCGCTTGTGCACCCCGGATTGAAGTGAAATACTGAGCGAAGGGCACACACAGGACCTTCGAGCCCCGTCCCACATCCCCGCTGCAGACAAACTCTGCTGCGTCCCCTCAGAGATCCTTGAGTATCACAGCCTCGGTCACTGGCCTGAAGACCCACTGGGATCCTGACCCGGCCAGGCACAGAAGATGACCCGGGGCACTGGGAGCCCACCCCACCCCGCGGCCCAGCCTCCCCCTCCCTGGGATCTGCCTCTGAGCCGCCAACTGTGCGCAGAGGACAGCGGCTTCCTTGTGATGGAGTTCCGTTCCTACGTATTCTGGCTGTCAGTCCTCACGTAGGCAGATTAAGTGTTCCCAGTACGTGTCACTATGCCGACTGCTCCACTTTGCTGTGCAGAACCTGCTTGGTTTGATAGAATCCCATTTGTCCATTTTTTTGCTCTCATTTATTTCCTGTGATTTTAGGAAACAAAAGACGCCAATGCCTAGACCAGCGTCTTACAGACACCACTGCACGGCTGCTTCTGGTAGTTTCCGTTTCAGAGCGTGGCTTGTTCCATTGTGTGGGTGCCTGCTTTGGGGCGAGGGGACGGTGGCCAGAGTTCCCGCTTCAGCGTGAGAATGTCTAGTCTCCCCAGGCTGTTCTTTCTCCATTGTGTGTTTGCAGTTGTTGGTAAGCGTGTGGGAATATTCTGGGCACTCTATTCTGTTATATTGGTCTACTTAAAAAAGAAAAAAGTAACTCAGATGGCCAACAAACCAGTGGGAAAGCCTCCAAGTTTATTAACCCTCAGGGAAATGCAAGTCAAAACAATGCGATATTACCTCACTCTGTCAGATTAGACTACGAAAAACAAGTGCAGCAGTGCTGTCAGGATGAGGAGGGAGCTCTCGTCCACGGCCGTCATGTGTGCTGTGGGGTGTGAGCACGGGGTGGTGTGAAAGCAGGGTGTGAAGCACAGGTGTGAACCGTGAGGTGTGAAGTACGGGGTGTGAAGCACAGGTGTGAACTGTGAGGTGTGAAGTATGGGGTGTGAAGCACAGGTGTGAACCGTGAGGTGTGAAGTACAGGGTGTGAAGCACAGGTGTGAACTGTGAGGTGTGAAGTGCAGGTGTGAACCGTGAGGTGTGAAGTACGGGGTGTGAAGCGCAGGTGTGAACCGTGAGGTGTGAAGTACGGGGTGTGAAGCACAGGTGTGAACTGTGAGGTGTGAAGTATGAGGTGCACAGGTGTGAACCATGAGGTGTGAAGTTTGGGGTGTGAATCACAGGTGTGAACCGTATGTTGTGAAGTGCAGAGTGCAAAGCACAGGTGTGAACTGTGAGGTGTGAAGTTCAGGGTGTGAAGCACAGATGTGAACCATGAGGTGTGAAGTGCAGGTGTGAAGCGCAGGTGTGAACCGTGAGGTGTGAAGTACGGGGTGTGAAGCACAGGTGTGAACTGTGAGGTGTGAAGTATGAGGTGCACAGGTGTGAACCATGAGGTGTGAAGTTTGGGGTGTGAATCACAGGTGTGAACCGTATGTTGTGAAGTGCAGAGTGCAAAGCACAGTTGTGAACTGTGAGGTGTGAAGTTCAGGGTGTGAAGCACAGATGTGAACCATGAGGTGTGAAGTGCAGGTGTGAAGCGCAGGTGTGAACCGTGAGGTGTGAAGTACGTGGTGTGAAGCACAGATGTGAACCATGAGGTGTGAAGTGCAGGTGTGAAGTGCAGGTGTGAACCGTGAGGTGTGAAGTTCAGGGTGTGAAGCACAGGTGTGAACCGTATGGTGTGAAGTGCAGAGTGCAAAGCACAGGTGTGAACCGTGAGGTGTGAAGTACATGGTGTGAAGCACAGATGTGAACCGTGAGGTGTGAAGTGCAGGTGTGAAGCACAGGTGTGAACCGTGAGGTGTGAAGTTCAGGGTGTGAAGCACGGGTGTGAACCGTATGGTGTGAAGTGCAGAGTGCAAAGCACAGGTGTGAACCATGAGGTGTGAAGTGCAGTGTGAAGCACAGGTGTGAACCATATGGTGTGAAGTGCAGAGTGCGAAGCACAGGTGTGAACCGTGAGGTGTGAAGTACAGGTGTGAAGCACAGATGTGAACCGTGAGGTGTGAAGTGCAGGGTGTGAAGCACAGCTGTGAACCATATGGTGTGAAGTGCAGAGTGTGAAGCACAGGTGTGAACTGTAAGATGTGAAGCACAGGTGTGAACTGTGAGGTGTGAAGCACAGGTGTGTGAACTGTGGGGTGTGAAGCACAGATGTGTGAACTGTGGGGTGTGAAGCGCAGATGTGTGAACTGTGGGGTGTGAAGTGCAGGATGTGAACTGTGGGGTGTGAAGTGCAGGGTGTGAACTGTGGGGTGTGAAGTACAGGGTGTGAACTGTGGGGTGTGAAGTGTAGGGTGTGAAGCACAGGTGTGAACTGTGAGCTGTGACGCACAGGTGTGAAGTACAAGTTATAAACTGTGGGGTTTGGCCATGAGGTGTGAGGTGCAGGTGTGAAGTGCAGGTGTGAATGGGCAGCCGTTGTGGAAGGCAATGTGGGGTGCAGATGCCCATCCCTCTACTTCAGGATATGCATCCAAAAGTAATAATGTCCAGATACACACACACACAGAGATATGAGCCTGCACACCCATGTTCACAGCTGTGCTGTTCACAACAGCTAAGACACAGAGTCAACCTAAAAGCCATCGCTGGGTAGACCAAGGACCTAGCCACCCATCTGTGGATCAATCAATGAGCTAGACGCCCGTTGGTGGGTGGATCAATCATCTGGATGCCCATCGATGGGTGAACCTATAATCTAGATGCCTACGGATGGATGAGAAGCTGTAGTGTTCACGCAGTGGAATATTATTCAGCAATGACGACAAAGCATTTTTCTTGTATCCTCACCCCTAAGATAACCAAATGAAGAGGCGGAGCAAACGCTGTGCCGGTAAGGGCTACAGCCATGTGGCCTACTTGCTTCACAGAAAACCGGCAGAAAATTACCATCTGAAACACAGCGGGGGCGGGGGCCACCGCAGGGGGGAGGGGAATTGCTTGAGGATACAGAGTCAGCTCGTGGGTGTCAGGGACAGGGACCCTAGGAGATGGCAGGAAGGTGTGGCAAGATAAAAGTCAGAGTCTGGTCAGCAGCCCCTGCTGGCGCAAGCCTCCGGGGCCCCGAGCCCTGGGCGGCGTGAAGTAGATGCCACCAGTGCTGGTGGGTGAGGAGCAAGGGCCCAGGGGGAGACTGGAAACAGCCGGTATCCCGTCCACCACGCACGTGCGCCCTGTGCAGGTCTCCCCCGTGTGCACGTCTGCCTGCGAACATGTGTGCGTGTGTCTGCCTGTGCATGCGTACACACGCTGGAGACGCCCATAAATGTCATGGGAAAGTTCTCTTCAGAGGCGAGTAGTTTTCCTGTGAATTCACACTTTGCAACCACATTAGTCAAGAATGACAGAGACAGAGGGACGCTGCAGACAGGAGGGGTCTCCGTGGGGAGCCCTGAAGGCGGGAGGTGGACTGCTTTCCACTGAGCGGAGCGGTGGGAGTTTAGCCTGAGAGCCGTTCTCTGAGCCTGTGCTGTGCTGACTCCCACCCGCAGCGCCCTCCGGACGTCTCTGCCCCTGGAGAAACGCCGCTGTGGCGCACAGAAAAGCAGGGCAGAACCGGAAGCTTCCTTCCTCACAAAATTCACAGCAAGTGCAGAACTAATTCTACATTCGCAAAGGCCCCCAAAATCAACTGCCATCGAACCCAACATCTCTGTACACTACTGTGCGGGCCAAGGGCACTGGGCCTGAGGCCTGGCAGGTGCACCGTAAATATGGCACCTTGACTTTCTGCCA